TGAGCGCTGGGTTGCGAAGCTGCCCGTGGCCTCTGCGGCACCGGTTTGATCCCCAGCTGCTCCTCGGCCACCGGAGGAGGGTCCCACATGGCGCGCAGACCTCTCCTGCCGCCCGCTGCTCCCCTCAGCAGTGTACTTCGGTCCTTCTCACTGCTCTGCTCCCCGCTCTGGCTCTGGTGAATTCTCTCACCCTCCCCGCGCTTCTGACTGTACCCAGTGCATGCATAAACAAACAAACAAAACAAATAAATAAATAAATAAAACATGCCTCTATAAAAAAAAAAACAAAAAACCATTTTCTTGGACAACTGGATAAAGTGGGAGACTCACCACACAAGTTCCTTTTTCCCTGTTCCAGAGAACCAACTAGAATGATGAGAGTTCAACAAATTCTATGAAACTGAAGGCTGACCAGAACAAGAATGGATCACTTACTCATTTGTAAGCAGAAGTTTAAAAAAAAAAAATCATAGATACAGAGAACAAATTGATGGCTGCCAGAGGTGGGGGCTGCCACCTCACCACGGGGAAAATAGGTGAAAGATGTCAAAGGGGCAAAATTCCAGTTATAAAATATGTATCATGGGAATATAATGCACAGCATAGTGACATATTTAATAGAATTGTATTGCACATTCAAAAGTTGCTGAGAGTAGATCTTAACAGTTCTCATAAGAAAAATAATTTTTATAACTATTTATGGGAATGGATATTAATAAACTCATTGTGGTGATCACTTTGCAATATATACAAATATCAAATCATTAGGTTGCATACCTGAAACTAATGTAATACTCTGTATCAATTATTCCTCAATCAAAGAAAAAAATGTATGGGCCCAAAAATATGGCCAATGTTTATAGACATTTGAGAAAACCTTCCAACTTGAAGGGAGGCCAAATCAGGAAAAAAAAGAATTAAAAGAAAACAAAAAAGGAATCAGAAGAAAATTTTAAAATAACATACTTCCTATCCCCAGAAAGAGAAAAATTATATCCATCAAGCAATATCAGGACTGGGAAAAAAAACACTTAAAAATTAAAAATTTTACAATCAAAATTAAATATTAGACAAGGGGCAGAGAATGTGACAGTTCGTTACTCTAATTCACCATTAACTGTAGGATAAGCCATGGTTTTATGAACCACTAAGAAAGAAAAATGCGGGGCCTCCCCGGTGGCGCAGCGGTTGAGCGCTGGGTTGCGAAGCTGCCCGTGGCCTCTGCAGCGCCGGTTCGATCCCTGGCTGCTCCCCGGCCACCGGAGGAGGGTCCCACATGGCGCGCAGACCTCTCCTGCCGCCCGCTGCTCCCCTCAGCAGTGTACTTCGGTCCTTCTGCCTGTTCTGCTCCCCGCTCTGGCTCTGGTGAATTCTCTCACCCTCCTGTGCTTCTGACTGTACCCAGTGCTTGCATAAATAAATAAAAAATAAATAAATAAATCTTAAAAAAAAATTAAAAAAAAAGAAAGAAAGAAAGAAAGAAAAATGCCATCAATTGGACTACATGTCAGCAATTCAAAGATATCTATTTTCTTTTATACTAATAGAAACCCAATTTTTTTTAGAATGACAATTCACTCAACTGAGAGAGTATACTGCCATGACTCCTTTGCAGCTAGGTACAACCACACAATTACTACTAAGTGTTTTGTGGAAATCCCAAGAAGGGTCCTTAAAAGGAACTAAGTTGGCTTCCTCCTCCTTCCTGGTGCCTAGAATATGGATATAATGGCTGGAACCCCAACTGCCACGTGCCTTGAGGACTGAAGCTTAGGTGGCAATTATCAGAGAGGGGTCAGACCCCTGATGATTTCATGGAGCTATTGGACTATCCCTGGACCGTCTACCTCCAAACTTAGATTACATGAGAGAAAAACAAGCTATTTATGCCACTATTACCTGAGGTTTTATGTAATATGCATTCAGATATACTCTTAAATAATTCAAAAGAATGAAAAGATTAAGTCAAGGAAATCTTCAAGAAAATGAGTTGGAAAAAAAGAAATTGTAAAAATCAGAGAGGGCAAGTTCAGGAGATCCAACATCAGACTAAGAAGGTTCCCTGGAAAAGAAAACAGAGAAAACAGAACAAAAGACATAAGTACATTTTCCAAAACTGAGAATCTATAATATAATTAAAAGTGCCTACCAAGTTCCTGGCTCTAAAAAAGAAAATTGAAAAAAACAAAAACAAAAACAAAAAAACAAGCATATCACACAGTTCAGAAACAATGAAAACCAAATTACATAACACAGGAGACAGAATTCCAGCTACCAGAATGCTCATGTTAGAAGACACGGGAACTGTACATTGAAAGTAATTCTTGAAAATCATTTCTAGGGACGATTTATTTGTGATCTAGATTCTACAGCCAGTCAAGCTATCAGTTAAGTAACAAAAAAAAAAGAAAAGAAAACATTTTAAAAGCAAAGATTTGGAGCATTTATCTACCACACGTTTCTTGGGAAGGTAGTAGAGAATATGTTCCAGCAAAATGAGGGGGGCACCAGAAAAAGAGAGAAATAGGATAGGAGCTCTAGGAAATAGCAGAATCAACATAGGTGGTTCTCAGGATTACAGCTGAGGCAGTCTAGAGAATAACCAGTTAAAACTGGAGGACATGGCCTCCGTGGTGGCCTAGGGCTTAAGTCTCAGCACTATCCCCTCTACAGCCTGAGTTCAAGCCCAGCCAGGGAGCTGAACCACATATGGCACAGCAGACCTCTCGTGTCTCACCCGCTGCTCCCCTCAGCAGTATATTTCAGTAGATCTGTCTGTTCTGCTCCCCACTCTGTCTCTGGTGAATCCTCTCACAAACATACACACCCCCCACCTCTGGTCTACACACCAGTTCTTATATGCATAAATAAATAAAAATAAATCTTAAAAAAAAACTATACTTAAAAACCGGAGGAGAACAGAGGCATCTGGAGGAAGCTCTCTAGGAGAAAGGGGGAGTTGATAGGTTATCTGACACAGGTTTGAGCATTTGAAGAGAAAATTTTTTTTTAACTTCATATGGTGGTTATGACGGAACAATTAGTAAAATTTTAATAAGATTATTTAAAAATATGCAAGCAAGAAGACCATTTATTTGTGGGGAAAAAATAAGCCTCTGTACCAGCAATGAAAGGTAATCCTAATACACTTCCTGACTCTGGTGGTCAATCTACCCTATCAAAAAATGTAAATATTTTGCTGCTTAATTAAATTATATGACAAATAGTTATTATATTGAAATGATGAAGGGAACACAATATAACACACTTACGGTTTTACTACCGTAATGGAATAAACACACAAAGTCATAGTCATGTTATGAAGGTGTAAGCACAATTATTCAGAACTAAGGACATAAAACCCAGAATAACCAGCAATAATTTAATTACCTCTGGAGATGGAGCCAGGATTAGGAAACACTGGGGGAAGAATCTGATGTTTTTCATTCTCAGGTTCTTGGTATGAATTAATAATATATAACTATGGGCCTCCCTGGTGGTGCAAGGGGTTAAGATGCAACCTGTGAAGCTATTGCAGCCTCTGCAGCACGAGTTCGATCCCCACCCAGGGAGATACCCACATGGCACAGCAAACCTCTCCTGACTCACCCGCTGCTCCCCTCAGCAGTGTATTTCAGTCTGTCTGCCTGTTCTGCTCCCCACTCTCTCTGGTGAATCCTCTCATCCCACATACCTCTGGCCTGCACCCCAGTTCTTGTGTGCATAAATAAATAAATCTTTAAAATATATAACTAAGAACATGCATTGATTTAAAAAATATTACCTATTTTTCATCGAGTATAGACTAAAACCCAGACTGCAGGATCAGGACCTTCTAGATCCTAACTCACCTTTCCAGTTTCCTTTGCTATTATCCCCTCCCCTGATCAGAGCCACTTCCTTCTGCGTCCTCCAGGCTGAAACAGCCTTTCCTGGCCTCTGCCTAATAGATCTTGCCCATTCCCTAGGGGCCAGGGTCCAACTTCCATCCTTTGCAGAACAAGTTGTCTTACACAGTGCAAAGTCAAAGCACCTTAAAGATTGGGGACCGGGGGCTCAGTTCTAGCACTTGCATCTCCTGGAGAGCCCATACTATGGCAGTAAGTGAGATCCAGAGGAGATGCCCCTGCCAGCGGCTGTCAGCCACACGGAACTCACAGATACATCAACTGTGGTGTGGCTGTTTCTATTTCCAGGAAAAGTGAAGCTTTCAGATATCAAGACTGTCTGGGACCAGAATCTCTGCATTGTCTCCTGGGCACTGGAAGAGGATTGTGGGTAGAGCCAGCCAGGCCCATTGCCCATGCTCTCAACTATTCCAAGGCTCCAACAGCTGAGCCAGAAGGAATTCCTGCACTTCCTCACCTCTTAGTGTGCACTTGTCTGACTCTCTTCCCACATCCTTTTCCCATGTGTGGAATGTAATCTCCCAGAGCAGATACTATGCCTTCTGGTCTTAGAGGGGATGTCTCAAAAGGAGGGGTGATCTCCACATGGCACTTGTCAGGGGCGGAGGGGAAGGCAGCAGCATAAACCCACGTTTATGGCTTAAGCTGTTTGAGAAGTTGGCTGAGTGTTTCTCTTGGGGTGACCTATCCCAACCCCTACAATTCATTCTCCAAGGCCTGTCTCCTCCAACATGCCATGGCTCTTGAGGACCTGCTCCAGGCCCTGAAACCAATCCAGGGTTTGCCATTCAGGATGGGGGCCTAGGGGTCCATATTGGGCCTCATGTCCTCCTCAGGTCCCCAATGGGCCTCCTTCCCATTCCACAGCCCCCCCGACCAGGTGTGGGGCTGCCTTTACCGCAAATGAGGAAAAGGGTCGCCTTCTATCAGCTCAGCAATCTGAGCCCATGGGACCCACACCTCATCTCAGCCCTTCAACACCAGATGGACACTTGCTCCTCCTGTCCCAAATTTCCACCCATGCCCACTCTTCCTCCTCCTCCTCGCTATCATCGACCTACGAGGAGGAACATGAGTTTATCCAGGGCTTACCCAGAACTTCACAAGAAAGAAGGCATTGGAAGGTCCTCGTTCAAAAAGCTCCTTGAGCCCACCCTTTTTCTCCGGGAATTTGTCATAGATCTGGCGGATGTCCACGGCTTCGAGGTAGGGGTCATTGTAGCTTGGGCTGGACTGGCCAATGTGAACGAACAGGTGCTTGTTGTACTGTGGAGAGAACAGTGGTTGTATTGGGGTTGGGGGAAAGAGGGGGGCAGCAGGGCAGATGGAGAACAGAGAAGAGATCAGATTCCAGCCATGTGACCTGCAATAACCAGCTTCACCTCCCAAGCCTGTTTCCCCAGTGGGAATGGGAGACAGTAAAGGGATTAAGAGCAAAGCCAAGACACCGAGTCTGAAGCACATTCCAGGTGCTACTAGGCACCTAGTAGGTACTCAATAAATTGGGTGTTGTTACTAAATTGTCCTTAGTCCAGGCTCCATGGTTCAATACCCTTAAGCACACCACTTTCTATCTTTGGGTGTCTTTTATCTCATCCGCAATGCAATGAGAAGGTGTTTTCAAACTGTGCTCCACTCTTGCGGCTGGAGGAGGGGGTGCCCTCATAGGCATGCTGCTACAATCCAGGGTAGCAGGGTATGCACCCAGGGCTTTGAGTCAGCATCTGTTTGGTTAATGGGTTCCTCAGGTAAAAAAAAATAAGTTTGAAACTGTCAAAGTGAAATATCTGTGAAGTTCCCTGTCAGCCCGCCTCCTCCAGGTGCTACTCCGACCTCTGCAGGTAATGCTGGCCACCCAGGACCCGGGCACTGTGGGGCTGGGGCGGCTGTGCTCCCTGCTAGAGGCTCAGAGGAAGCAGGTCAGACACAGGAGGCTCCTCGGCTTCCTGCCTTCTGCTCACAGCCACAGGGAAGGGGCTGAAACAGCACGGGGTGGGGGAGGGGCTGGGCACGAGCTGGGACGGGCAAAGAAACCTGGGGGTGGGTATCTCTGGGATGGGGATGATAAAGCAAGCAAGGAAGTGAGGAAAGAGGAGAAAGATGGAGTAAGAAAGGGAAGGGAAAGAGGAGGCATGTCAACGGAAGGCAAGGTTGGAAGGAACATGGAACCTACATTAAGCCCAGGAATAGAGCAGTGCAGAGGGCAGGGAAGGAAGCCAGAAGCAGGTATGAAAGAGCTGGAACAGGTGCCTGCAGGATGTCCCGCCAGACCCAGGTAGGACCTACCGTATCAGGGTCTTGCTGCTGCTCCAGGAAGGCAGAGAACTCCAACATCCAGAGCTTGGAGCTGGCCACGCTGCGGCCCTGCCACGGGGGTGCCGGCGGCGACGGGGCGGGTCCTGCAGGAGTCTCAAACCCTGTGTGCAGCAAGGAGGCACGTGGGAAGCTGTCCTTGCCCTCTGCAAGGACCCTGGCCCACACGTGAGACTCCATGCTGGCAAGAGGATCTCTGCCTCCCAGATCTGGGCCTCCAAGCAGGGGTGATGGAAGGAGGGCAAGGATCTGGCTAGAGCATCCAGGAGCAGGCCCTGGTGGGGACAGCTCGGCCGGGCACAACTCACTCATGGGAGATTGGATGCTGGCTGAGGGTTCTTAGAATGGGCACTGCTAGGTTCTGCCCTTGAGGAGCCCCAAGGGCCGCTAGGGCAATGACCAGAAAAATGATCACAATGACGTGAAAAAATATAAGTTTCCTTTTGGGGTCCCCAATGTCTCTCAGGCCCTGAGAACAGTGCCTGGCCCAGAACAGGCACTCGATGCACGCTGGCGAATAATGACAAAATGCGTGTGATAAAATCTGATGAGGTGTGCAGTCAGCACCACAGAGGAGATCCAGGCCCACCTGTGGGGATGGGGTTGGGGGTCCAGTAACTTTTTCCAGAAAAGGTGACATCTGAGAAAAGTGCAAGTAGGAGGAACAGGTGAGGACAGGGACGGGCATCCAAGCAGAGGGCACAGCAGCGGCAAAGGCATGGGACTGTGACGAGCTGCACGAGTTGGGAGCTCAGTCTTGGGTAGAACTGGAGAGAGGGCAGGAAACAATGCTATGGAAATGGGCCCCGGTAGCAGGGTTGAGATGACTACACCCTGAGAGTTGAGGACTGAGAGGCTCAAGCAGAGCAGTGAAATGACCAGCTCTGCATTTCTGAAGGGCCCCAGTCTCCGCATGGAGGAAGACCCTGCAGAGGAGGTAGACCAGGAGCAGGGTCCTTGCAGAACCTTTCCCAACGGAACAACACAGAGGGCCTGAGCTGAAGCTGTGCGGTGGGGTGAGAGGAGGGGACCGAGCAGGGACCTGGTGGGAGCCAGCCCAGGACTGGGTGACTGGTGGTCGCAAGAGCGCAGCAAGGCACGGCGCAGGGGCCCTGAGGCAGGTAACTCAGCAGCACACGGAGGAAGGAGACAGAAAAGAAAGAGAGGGAGGTGGCGGACTGTGCTGGACACAGCGGCCCCATCAGTCCTGCCCAGCTGAGCACTGCTTGCTGAGAGCCGGGCACCCTCCACCGAAGACACGGCCAGTCACAGCTCTGCCCCAACACACAACGAAACGTCAAGTGCTAGATGGAGGGTTACAGAGTGCTGGGGCGGAGGGGGCAGGAGGTCTACCTGGGGGGGGCAGGGTAGAGAAAGTGGGAGCCACAGTCCAGAGGCGGGAAGCAGGGGAGGCGAGAAAGCTGAGGTTAACAGGAAGAACCAAAAAATTCCACCACGGAGCTCAGCTTGTATCCTGGAGGCACCAGGCTCCCAAAGGACTTTAAACCTCAAAGCAGCATCAGCGTAGTGAGGGCGATGTTTTAAAAAGATCCCTTGTGGCACAAGGGGTTAAGCACCATACTATGAAGCAATCTGCAGCCTCTGCAGCACGAGTTCAATCCCCAACAGGCCAAGAAGGAACCCACATGGCGCAGCAGACCGCTCCTGTCTCGCCCGCTGCTCCCCTCAGCAGTGCATTTCAGTCAGTCTGCCTGTTCTGTACCCTCCTCTGTCTCTGGTGAATCCTCTCACCCCTTGCACCTCTGGCCTGTACCCCAGTTCTTGTATGCATAAATAAATAAATCTTTAAAAAAACAAAAAATCACTGGGATGAGACAGGGTGAGAGAAGACAAGACAGGGGAACCACAGCTGGAGAGGAGGCTGCTGCAGACATGCCTGCGGGCACTCGGAGGGCTGAGCACAGCCAGGCAGTTCAGAGAAAGGAGAGGCGGACCAGAGGGTGGGCTGCAGGGGCTGGGGACCTAGGAGTGGAGAGGGCTGCCCACAGAGGGAAAGCCAGGCCTGAGTAGTCAGGGAGTCATTCCCAAGTCAGAAAAGGGAATTAAGGGCAAGGCTTCTGTCTGGCCCTGCAGTATTAGCAGGAACAGAGACCGAGATGGTCATCTCAGCGGTTGGGGAGGGTCCCTACAACCGCCCAGCTGCCCCACCTTCCGCCCTTTGCCAAGCTCTGAACGCCCACCCCACCCATGCCCCAGGCCTCTCTCTAGAAGAGGTGCCTCTGCGAGCAAGGGGCACTGAGCTAGAAAGCTGTGCTCTTCTCACACTGCCATTTTGAAGGAGAGGATGATAGCATCACCCAGAGGGAGTCATCCCAGGGAGCAGGCACTGCCCTCTGAACTCTGGAAGACTGAGGCTGACCTGGATAAACACGGACCACTTACTCACTTGTAAGTTGGAGTATGCACCCCGCGAGGCCTGGGCCAGCTGGAGCACAGCAATCAGGGCACAAAGAGGTGTGTGTGCTGGGGGAATGTTATGGGGTGGATCAGGGGGACTAGGATGTAAGGTCTGAGCACATACCAAGGAACCATCTAGGGGGCTGGGACATGGGGTGGATGCCGAGAGTGCCATGTGTGCAAGGAAGCCATGCACAGCCACCCACCTGGCAGAGGCAGCGCAGGCTGGACATTGTAGGTTTGTTGAGAGAAAGGTTTCACACTGCGGGAGACAGAGAGAGGAGGTATAAGCCTGGGGCAGAGTACAGCCCGGAAGCCTCGGGCAGGACCCTCCCCTCCAGCGGTCAGGGTCTGCCCATCCTAGTCGTGGAGGTTTGGCCCCCCCCACACCCCCTCCCTAGTAACTCTCTAGGTCCCATTCCTAGCGTCCCTCTCTTGGACTCCCAAGCTCTGGCCCTGCCAGACATTGGGACAGACTGGAGCTTTGGCTTATGCCAGTCCAGGGTGTCTCCCCTGGAGACTGAGCTGATGCCCGAGTACAGGAGAACTCCACCCCTGAGCTCAAGGCCATCCTGACCGGTCCACCCTGGGGTCAGCGACAGCTGCCTGAGTTCACGGGCTCCAGTTTAGCTGGTGGAGCCGGAAGCAGCAGCGGCCGGCCATACTCACTCGTGGGATGTTCCGGCTTGGCCCGGCAAAGCTCCTTGCCAAAACTGAGGAGGCAAAAAGGACAGAGTCAGCACGAGGGCTGGTGTGAGGAGTGGGGGCAATATGAGCTGAAGGTCGAAGCCAGTGGGGAGCAGGGAGAGAGGTGAACTAGTCTACTGCTAGGCTGGAGCAGAGTCCCAAGTATTTTAGAGAAGCACCAGCTCTGCTGCACACAGTACACCCTTGCCCTGGACACAGATGCACGGCACATGCAGCATACAAGGCCCTGAGTGGTCCTGCAGTGAAGAAATCTACTTAGGGGGCCTCCCCGGTGGCGCAGCGGTTGAGCACTGAGCTGCAAACCTGCCCACAGCCTCTGCAGCGCCAGTTCGATCCCCGGCCGCCGGGTGAGGGTCCCACATGGCACGGAGACCTCTCCTGACGCCCGCTGCTCCCCTCAGCAGTGTACTTCATCGGTCTGCCTGTTCTGCTCCCCGCTCTGGCTCCGGTGAATTCTCTCACCCTCCCACGCTTCTGACTGTACCCGGTGCTTGTATAAATAAATAAATTAATTAATTTTTAAAAAAGAAAGAAACCTACTTAGGTCTGGGTGTTCCCAGCGCACTCATGCACAGGCTCCCTCTGTCCTAGTCCACACCCCCGTGGACTAGTGGGAAAGGCTGCATTCACCACGCACAGGGCCTCCTGCCCCTGCTCACAGGCCAGGGCGCTGTGTGGGTCATCGGGAAGACCCACTTAGCCCCCACGGCCAAGCAAAACCTGTGAGGAGAGTCCCATAGACAAGGAGCCTTTGGGGGCCATTCCGAAAGTATGACCAACAAAGCCATGGCGGAGAAATTCTCATTCAAACCAGAGTCTAATCCAAACCTGGACATCAGTCCCCTCCAGGTGGGAGGGCAGAGCTGAGCAGAGGAGGCTACTCAGGCAGCCCCTCGTCTGCAGCCAGGCCACCTGACACTCAGCTACCGACGCCAGTTAATGCAGCAGCTGTCCCCAGTGAAAGGCCTGCTGTGCCACCGCCAATATCCCCAAGAAGGTGGTTCCGACACTAGTGGGGTCGTGACTGCGTGACCCCTCAGTCCTTCATCCCTCCTTCCCCCTGGCTCTCCTGGCCTGGAGGACTCAAGAGAAACAAGTTTGGTCTGGCCAGTGCTTCGGGCGCTGCAGAAGGGAGAGGAGTGAGAAGGACAGAGCTTGGCTTGGCCTCGGGCTCCAGGCAGCCCCACTTACCCCCGAGACTGCTGGGTAGCCTGGGCCCCGGGTGAGGGTCATTTTACTGTGGAAGGCTGTGGCGGAGATGATCTGTGCGGACGACATGGTAGCCATGCTCTGCAGGGCCTTGTCCTTAGCTGCCTGATCCTGGGGGAAGACATTGGAAGGGAGGGCCTCAGCGGTGGTCACTCAGACGAGGCGGGGTCCGAGCTTGTGGTCAGGGAAGCTGTCCCACTGTTTGTGGCCAGGGCCCTGGAAGAGGCCCCAGGGACCAGGTTTAAGTCCTTGCAGTGTTGTTAACTTGTTCTGTGACTAAGTGCAAATCACTTGGTTTCTCTGAACAGTTTCCTCATCCATCAAAGGGGCATACTATTGGCCTTGCCTATTTTATAGGCACTTAAGGAGACTTTGCAGGCCTTATCTTTCATTTTACTAACCAGAAGAACATCTTGAACAGAACCACAGCCAGCAATTTCTACTCAAGCATCTTGGCTGCTAACATTTGCAAACTAATTGGCCATCAGGCAATTTTGCCACAGAGGGACATTTAAAAGGATACCACGAAAAATGAGAACAGTACAAAAATTTATTTTCTTTTGTGGACTGTAACTAAACACTTGTCTTCCAAGTCTTTCTTCCCTTCACAGTATTCCACATTATATTTTCAGTAACCAACTTTACTCTAAGGGTGAAATCAGAGAGTGTCAAGTGAGCTCACATACTACTAGCCTAGAAAAGAACACATCGGCTTGCAGAGAGGTGGTTTCTTATTTCATCAAAGGAGAAATGGAGCCAAACTTACAACTCACTGCTTATTTTTTCTGTTTGGCAAAACTGCCTGATAGCCAGTTACTCATGTGGCATATGTGCTTGCAGCAGAACTACCCAGAACCCTTGAGAACAGGGACCCGTTAAGCCCTGCTCCCCTCCAGACCTCTCATGGTTCTCACACCCTGCCTTATAGTAGATGAGGCATAAATATCTGTTGGATCCTCCTGGGGTGGGCAGGAGCGGTCATTTTGGGTCACGGCAGGCAAGGGACACTGTCCTGGGCCTCTCCTACAGGTCTCCTCCTGCCCTGTGGCCACTTGTGACAGTCACTCCCCTTTCCATGTCAGCACCCACTGTCTGCCCTCCATGGGGACGAAGACCCCAAAGAATGGGTCCAGCCCGCACAGGCTCTGTTAATAAGCACTCAGGAACACATTAGTTAGGAACACACAGCACTATGACACTGGTAACAGCAGTAATAATAATGTCTTATACTCGTATGAGTATGAGTCCTGTCCCAGACTCCCCAGCCCCCAAAGTCTTCAAAAGCAGCAAGGCAACATTTTGTATGTGAAAAAGTATATGGAGAATTATATCTTTAACCAAAATAAGACCGCATACAAGGACTGGAACACTCAGCTTCATTGAGGCTAAAAGGTTGGATCATGTCAACTCAAAAAAGCCCTGATTAGAAACCCTATGTGTTTATGATGAATGTTTTCATAGGGAAAACCAGTCACTATTTAGTAATGAACGTAGACCCAGACCTGTCCCGAGTGACAAGCAAGCTGGTGAGTGACGGGTCCCTGCGGCTCACAGGTGTGGTGGGGGAAGATCCCACGCAGCCCTGCCATAGCCTGAGGAGGCATCACAGGGCCGCGAGGCTCCAAAGGACTGAGGAGTCCAGGTGAGGCGCGGCTACGGAGCAGGACACAAGACCCTTCCAACAAGCTTTTGGGGAGACATTCATGCTCAAGTGGTGCACGACAGCCCGTGGAAGGTCAACAGCACAACCTCACTTTGATTCTGAGCACTAAAGCACTCCTTTATGGCTGGCATGACCCATGGAATCTCCATCTTAAAGTGAAGAAACTGAGGCTCAGAAAATTTCAATGAGTAGGGTGTTGAGGAGCTGAGGGTCAGCTCCATATCTCATTATGCATTGGCACAAACAGATCTGCCTCTGAGGGCCCTGAGGGATTTGACAGCAGCCACCTACACTGGGGAGGGCACCAGAGACCATTCTGAGAGGTGGGTCATTCTAACCCCACTGTCCTTTGGGGACAAACTCTGAGCCCTTGCTCCTCAGACACTGTCTCTGATAGGCAAAGAGAGAGCTAAAAGCATAAAGTGTGCTTCTTCCCAGGGACACTGGCCGTTTGGGAGGGGAAGCCTGGCCTGCCTGGGCCCTCTCCCTCCGGGAGGCCAGGAATGACACAGCAGGCCTCATGGCCCAAGCCGGTAGACCTCAGTTATTTGACAACTGCATTCTGAGGCCAGAGCACTCCATCCGCTCCGTGTCAGCAACTGGCATCTCTTCCCGGATAACCGATCTAAACAAATGACGGGGGCTCAGGAAGCCATGTCCTCTGTGCGCTGGGACAGGAACCAGCACTGTGGGGTGTGACATCAGTAACCAGAGCCATGGAGTCACTGAATTTTGAAAGTGGAGGTGACCTCAGATACTACCCTACTCCCTTGTCATCTTACAGACAGGAAACTGGGTGGAGGTGGAGGAAGGCTGGGGACTCATCTGAGCTCCCACGGCAGAACCAAGCCTCGTGACCCTGAGGACTTCCGCCTGACCTCACCATCCACCAGGGAACTAAATTACTGTGTCCCAGATGCCTTTAGATTATGACAAAGTCCTGAGACTGATTTCCCCACAAAAACACATACACATGGAAATGTCCTATTAGTTAAGGGGTTCACGTCTGTCGGGTGCTGTACAGAGCTGTGAGCAAAGACAGGGGCCATTCTTTGAGGTAACTATGACCCAAACAGGCCCCAAGGAATTAAAAGTTCCCCTCAGTGGCACTAAACACCTGGTCACCTGCTGGGATCCCAGGGAATCAGAGGCCAATCAGAGAGGGGAAGCTGGGAGGAGCAAGCTGGACTCCAGGGCCTGGGGGTGTTCTGGGGACACATGCCAGTCTGAGAGAGGGATCAACAGCTGCAGTCTATCCAGCTGTCCCAGGACAAAAGAGCGAGTTGCTGGGCACAACTGTGTGGGGTGGGGGACAGCTGGGTGGTGTCAGGAGGAACGGAGCTGAGCAGGCAGTGGGGTGTGGCATCCAAGGAGTTCCCACCCACTCATTCAGCGCTTCCAGGGTTGGGATCATGGACTACCCGGGCCAGATGGACCTCTGAGGTCATTGAGTCTGGAACTTTTTATACTGGGTTCTGAAATTTTGGGTTCAAGAGCCATAGGCCGCGAGAGGTGAATCGTGAATAGGAGGAGAGTCTCTGGCTTGCTCCCTGCCAGCCTAGTTTTGACCAGAGGAACACCTCTGGTGACACATCAGGGTATTTTTTTGTTTGGGACAGAAACAAAAAAGGCTTCCACTGCCTAAAAAAAGTGTAAACTACTTGCCGAGTCTAAGACCCCAAATGTTAGCTTTTCCTACGAAGTAGCAGGGCAGGCTCTGCTGTTACCAGCTCTGTGGTGAGAACTCACTCTCTCCTGGTCTCCTGTTCACCAGAACAGCCCCTTGACTCCTAGGTCAAAAAGGCCTGAGTCCAGTGAGGAGCAGGACTGACTGAGGGAAACCCATCAGCAGCTGGTACCCCCATAAAGCAGCAGGCCCCCAAAAGATGGGCTGATTATGGAAGGGGAAGGAACTGCCAATCCCAGAGAGTGGGGTGGGGGAAGGAATCTGACCAGCTTCAATAACAGCATCAAATCCCACCTCACAGCAGTGCCTCATTGCTGGCCACCTGTTGGTGTTGGCTGATGGCGCAAAGGGGCCAGCAGAGCTCCCAAGTAGACAGGAGCTCAAGCAGGTCCTCGAGAAATGGGATTTGATGGGTCATCCCACTGCCCTCAAACAGGTGATCTGGGCAGTGCTGCCTCTGAACTGGAGGGGTGGTGGGGGCTCAGCAGGAGACACCCGCCAGCTCCTAGATGCTGCGGGAACTCTGAGTGTGCCCCTCCTGTGCCATGGGAGAAACCGAACCCCATTTTCCTCAATCCCCAGAAGCATGCTGACACTGCATACTAGCAGTCAGCACCTAAACCCAAAGGGGAAACAGCCTGAGTCCTGGGGAGCTGGCCCCCCTCTGCTGTGGTTTCCTTACCTTTAGCTTGGCCTGGATCTCGCGGGCTTTGCGACGAGCCAGCACCTGGATGTGGCTGGAGACCTGTGGCAGGAAGAAAAGGTTCCTGTCCCTACCTCCCAGGCTGCCCGGGCTCCCCACGCTGGCTGCCCCAACCCTCCGCCCTCCACAGTCCTTAACCCACATCTGTGGAATCAACAAACGAATGGAGACAACCCGATGACGGTCCCGTCTTTTCTAGTTTGACAATAATAAAAAGGCAGTGCCAGTGCTCTGACCTCTGCTCCAGAGTCCGGGATAAGGATGGGGAAGGGTCTACTGACTCCCCGGTAAGGAGAGGCATTTCTTCCCAGGGGATGGCAGCAGGGGCTGCAGGAAAACACAGAGACAGCCCCCGCAAGTAGCTGCCCGCACTTGTCCTGCAGACGGCCTGGCCAACAAGGGAGCGGGGTGGTGCTGGGGAGCGACCCTGGGATCCACGTGCCCATCTCCCAGGCCCACCTGCTTCCTTGTGCGGGTCTTCCCTGTCCGGAGCTTGATGTAGCGGGCAATCAGCTCGTTCCGACCTGCAGAGACACCAAGAGCCTCTTAGCGGGAGGGCAACAGGCAGGCTAGCAGGAGAGTGCAAGGGGCCCCTTCCTTCACCACCTCTGCCCGCACACAGTGGTAGTTGGGGTGAGAATTCTCTGGGTTCCCTCCTTGGACCCCAACAATCTCCCCGCAGCAAGAGGAAGCTGAGGCTTTGCTGGGGGAAGGTAACCTGAGAATAGGGCCATAGTCCTCTGGCTGGGGCACAGCTCTCGGGGCGTCCTTGTAGCCTCCCTCAACCGCCTCCATCCCACAGCAGCCTGAGAGCTCTCTGCATCCTCCTCCTTCTGAGGCCTTCTGTACCCCAGGGAGGCTGCAGGGAACGCCTGGGCCCTGGCCCTTCCCCTCTGTGACTCCCTGTCCCTGCCACCTCTGTCAGTGAGCAGGACCTTACAATATGCCTCACCCTGTCTGTGGGCAGCAAAGGGCAAGGGCTGTCAGTGCTGAGACACCGAGTGTGCCCAGCAAGGAGGCCTGAGGCCCTGAACTCAGACACCGAGAACCCATGCTAACCGCACGCCCTGCTCCACGGCTGACCAGAGCAGGCGACAGGGAGTATGGGGCGCCCGCCACAGGCCTGGACTCACGGAGGTGATGCCGAGTCTGAAAGATGCTGGAACTCGGCAAGGAGCCACCCGTGTTGCCCAGGATTATAAATAAGATTATGAGGCGGTTTCAGAGAGCTCGGCGCCTAGTTGAGAGACATGTGCCCATGTTGGCTGCAGAGCAGAGCACGCTCCAGACAGGGAACACAGTGTGTTCAGAGGCCGAGGGGTCAGTTTAGGCTGGGTGGTCAGGTGAGCCTTGAGCTGGACCTTTACCTCAGGATTAGGCCATCGAAGGGGCAGTGAGTAGAGGGACCCGGCACTTCCGTGCTCCACCTCTGGGGCCAGAGGGCACAGCTGCCAGCCTGCCCTGTTTGGCGGGGCCTGGAGGCCGTGGCCGTGAGTGAGGAAGCTCCTGATGCAGGGAGGCGAGAGGAGTGGGCTGCCTGCCACCTGGCTCATAACCAGAGAGCACAGCCAAGATCAAGCTGGCCCCCCAGCTGACCTTTCCCCACTGCCAAGACCAAATTAAGAGGCCACCCTCGGGAGGTCTCATCTGCCAGAAAGACTTGATGGCCTGGAAGCACTGGTCTGTCTCTATCAGGGGAAGGATCAGACTGTGGGGACTTCACCCTTGGGCTGGTCTGCACCTAAAACCACGATCCAGCAAGATGTCTCTGCTCAAAGCTTTCCAGGGAAAGCTATGCCACAGTCTCCTTTGGGTGTCCAAGGAGTGTCCGACAGTCCTACTCTTTGTCTAACTAGATGCACTCATGCTGCAGCTATGACATGCTGTTTTCATGGGCAAGAGAGTCTAAGTCATCACTGATGACTTTCGCCAGTGAAGACAGGCCATGGAACTGGGACATGGGGAGCCTGGCTGCAGGCCAGCAGCCCAGGAGCGAATGAGCACAGGACCCCAACAAGTCGTTGTCCTTGCTGGACCATCGCCCAGCTTTCTCTTCTTAAGGTTTTTTTTCCTCCAAATTTTTCCAGACTTAGGAAACAGGCCTTAACTTTGGCTCAATGGGTCCTTTTGGTAAAATGAACATGTTCCAGGTCCCTCTATCCAGTTCAGAGAGCAGTGTAGGGGAAAGAAGAGTGAAGGAGGGGCCTCCTTGGTGGCGCAGGGGTTAAAGACACAGTGCTATCAAGCTATCACCAGCCTCTGCAGCACAAGTTCGATTCCCAGCCAGCCAGGGAGCTACCCACATGGCACAACAGACCTCTGCTGGCTCGCACACTGCTCCCCTCAGCAGTGTTATTTCAGTCCATCTGCCTGTTCTGCTCCCTGCTCTGTGCTGGTATATGTGGAGTTGAGCAGGACAAGTTGGTGGTGGAGAGCAGGTAGAGTAGGGACGGCGGGGGACACTTGAGTCTGGAGGGGCCACGGTGAGCTCCGGACCCGGCTCCAACACTGCTCACGCTGTGAGCACAGCAGCAGCACATCATTCTGTGTCTGTCTTTTCCTTTTAGATTCCCAACACCTCAGAGAAAGGGACCACAGCTGCACTCAGGTCTGCATCTCCAATACCTGCATCATTTGTCAAATGAGTGATAGACACCCATGAGTAGTAGACACCCATGAGTGGCAGACACCCAATAAATTATTTGTCAAATGAATGACAAGGAAGTGAATGATGACGTGTTATCAGATATGTCATCCTATCAAATGAATGATCAGATGTCCCAGGAAGTGTTTTACCCCTCTAAGGGACAGCTGTGCACTGAAGCAAATAACCTTTCACTTCTGATTAGTCCAACATAATATTCAAGGTGTCCTCTCTTCTGTTCTCATTTGAGTCTCTCTCTACAGGAGCAAATCCAGATTTCTGTGGGGTATTTAAATATTGGGAGGATCTCTTTGGAATAAGGAATGAAAAATACAAAACAAAATTAGGTCAGAAACATTTCTAATGAAGATGGATGTATCCATCCTCTTCATGGCAATGATGGCATCTTAGGTGTATGCATCTGTCAAAACTTATCAAATTCTCTGTCTTCAAATATGTGTAGCTCATTGTATGGCTATACTTCAGTAAAACTACTATACACATTTAAGTTAAAAATAAAGACTTGAGGGCCTCCCTGGTGGCGCAGCGGTTGAGCGCTGGGTTGCAAAGCTGCCCACAGCCTCGGCAGCGCCAGTTCGATCCCCGGCTGCTCCCCGGCCACCGGAGGAGGGTCCCACATGGCCCGCAGACCTCTCCTGCTGCTCCCCTCAGCAGTGTACTTCAGTCCTTCTGCCTGCTCTGCTCCCTGCTCTGGCGCTGGTGAATTCTCTCACCCTCCCGCACTTCTGAATGTACCCAGTGCTTGTATAAATAAATAAATAAATCTTTAAAAAAAAAAAAAAAAAAAAAATAAAGACTTGAGGGGCTTGGAAGGGTTCCATGCAAGTGAGGGGTCTTGAAGCTTGAGCCTCATTAACCTCACCATAAATCTACCTCCTTCCAACATTGCAGGCAATTTTATCTACTGACGAACAAGGAAACTGGGGTCACAAAAGCTCACCCAGATGGTCCCACAGACTAAGTGTCCGAGTTTGACAGGCTCAGCCACTTGTTAGTGGCACAGAGCCTGGCATGGAGAAGATGTTCAGTTAATTACTGGGAGCTCTGTTTCCAGGCTGGGCCAGCCTCCTGGCCCAAATGCAACAGGGCTTCTTCCACGGGAGCTGGGGAGGACCCTGCCTGCCACTAGCTGAAACCCTTACTCTGAATAACTCTAAGTGTCTCGTCATTCTTCTTCCTTTTTGGCTCTTTTTATACCTGTATCTTCAAGAGTACTGATTGGGCCTTCCATTTCATCTATTCTATTTTTGTGACTTTTCCCAGAATTTTTTAGTTCCTTCCATTGATTTTTTAACCTCCTCTGCAGGCTCTGCAGCATGAATTCAATCCCCAGCCGGTCAGGGAGTTACCCACATGGCACAGCAGACCTCTCCTAACTCACCTGCTGGTCCCCTCAGCAGTGTATTTCAGTCAGTCTGCCTGTTCTGCTCCCCACTCTGTCTCTGGTGAATCCTCTCACCTCCCACACCTCTGGCCTATATCCCAGCTCTTGTATGCATAAATAAATCTTAAAAAATAAACAAAGATTCAATCTCATTTTTCTACTGGTCGATTATCGGCAGATATTTTTATAGCTTTCTGTTCCTTCTCTGCCTCTTTGAGTTTTTTAGTTAAGATGATTCTGAATTCTTTATCTGTCAGACAAAGAAATTCTTCCACGTCAGTGTCACTGGGTTCTGGAAGCTGACTTTCTGTGGTGCATTGTTCCCAGGAGGGCTTGCTTGACCACTTGTTTATTTCTCTCTCCCTTTTGTTTGCTTTTGTGTTTGTTCTTGGCGTAGGGCCACATGGCCACTGGTGCCCACTGCCATGACTTCTGTGGGAGACCCTTACTCCAGCCATCAGGGTCCTGGGTCAGAGTCCCTGCCCAGCCCACAACCCTCTCTACCCTCTGTGCAGGGTACAGGAGCTGTTGGCAGACAGGCCATCTCAACCTTGGCTAGCGGGGGGCCACAGGCGCCTAACCCAAAAAGCCAAGACAGATTTTTCAAGTTGTGCTTCCTCCCCTCCCCGTCTTGGCGATCTTGCCCTCCCTTGCTGGCTCAACTGAGACCATTATTCTTCCCAGACTCCATTTGTTTTTTTGTCAGAGGTGATGCCAGCATTTGAGATCCCCCCGGGTGGGAGTGAAATGCTGGGTTTCTGTGGGTGTGCTCAGTCAAGGGGGACCAAACAGTTTCCTTCCTGCCACCAGAGGTGCACCTGGCCATTCTCATGCCTCCAGGCCAGCTGGCATCTAATCCAGACTTCCTACATACAGGGCACTGCTATAGTTTCTTTGACTCTCGTAATATTAGAAACAATAAGAACATTTACTGAGCACTTACATGCGCCCTAGACTGGAGACTTGATTTGCAGCTTTACTCCCTTTACCCTTTTACTCTCACATCAGCTCTAGGCAGCTGGTGTGATCACCTTCATTCTGGTGACAGGGAGGTAGAGGTGCAGACAGATTTAGAAACTTGTTCAGAATCACAGGTCAGTGTGTGGTTGATTGTCACTTCCATGCAGCGTTGTTTCAGAGTCTACCTCTCAAATGTGGCACAATATTGTTGCTATTTAATACATGGGCTAGGCCAGGGGACCCCAGAGGTCAGATCTAACCTAAGGAAGAAGAGGCTATAGCCTGGACACAGGAAGTGGCTTATTCCAAGTCGCACGGTTTGTTAGAGTGCCAGGCACTGTCCTCATAGTTTCTAAGGCTCCATCGCTACTACACACTGGCTGCTTTTCCCCAGGGATGTGCTCCCTGGCTGTACTGAAAGTTTCCTCTGCAAGAGATTTTTCTGCTCCTCCTTCAGATCCAACTCCTGATTCTCTGGGTTTTGCATGAAGTAAGCCCTTTGTGATGTCTGACTG